GCTATGCTGTACTCTGCTCTGAAAGACTGTTTGCATGGATTCGCTTGCCATGAAACTGCTGGCCTCAAAAATTAAATTTAGTATCATAAGGAAACAAAACAAAGAATAAATGCTTTCATTTTTCTAAAAAAAAAGATAATTAAATTAAGACAGTAGTTTTTAGTAAAGATTACTTACTAAAAGCTATTTAATAGTCCTGGCTTTTGAATAAGTTTATTCTTATGAAATGCATTACACTATAAACAGAAAAGGACTACAATGCCATAAAGATAACAAACAGGAAAAGAAATAGAGACAGACAGATTTTCACAAGCAGCAACAAATCAGCTTTTCCCCATCTGAAGCGGAGGCAACTGTGGATAACTCCTCCAAAGAAAGGCCTTCCCTTAGCAAACCCAATAAGCAAGAGCTGAGCAGTGTAACACACTAGAACATCTCGTACGAGCAGAGATTCATTTCCAGTTCAAGCTTTAAAACCAGTGGTCATATAAAGATCTTGACAAAGTAAAAAGGCTGCTCAGGAAAGGAAATACCATAATGTCCATTTTCTTCATGCATGGCAAAGCTCATCACTGAGCAAGAAGATGCCACTGAAAGGCAAGGAATCCAACAGCGAACAAGGGCTTCAGTGTTCAGTCAAGAATGAACTGCTCGATTATTGTCAGCGCCGTCCTCCACAAGAAACAGTGGTGCTATTAACAACCAACAAAATCCAAAGTGGTGACAGTTTTACAATGCGAATTCCAAACATTTCCCATTAATGAAATAACAGAATGAAAATTCTCTAGTGAGTTATGTTGATGTATGTGAGATGACAAAATTATCTGGAAGAGGAAGCTAGTGGTAACAGAACTTTTCAGTTATATTCACTCATAAGTGGGAGGAACGCATCCAGAACTGGCTTCTACTTTTTCTTCTATTGTATAGACAACCATCATCTTTATTTTATAGATCAACGTTCATATGTAACCCATAAAACAATTTCAGAAGACTGTACATAACAATCAAAAATAAACAAATAAATAAATCGAACATTCAATGTCAGGAATCACCAAAACATCAAGAGATGTGCCTGAAGTAGTCATAGTTCCGCACTCATGTTCCATATACCGGTAATTAGATGATTGCCATCTGGCCTTATGCCACACAGAGCAAAAGCAAAAGCTGGGCAATGAGATAAGGCAGCAATTGTTCTGTTGTTTCTGAAACTGGAAAATTCTTTTATTAAATTGGACAATTTGCACAAGGGAAAAAGGGACCTCGGTCCTGCGATGAAGGTAGTCAAATGCTGTTCCTGAGAAATTCTGTTGTATCTGTGCCTCTATCTCTGCATCTGAGATGTTCGATATGCTGAGGGCAGCCTCATTTTTCAGAAGCAGACATCAATTATGTCTTTTCCACTGTCTTGGCAGATGTATTTAGTAGTCTCTGCTGTCAGTGGACTTAAAAGGATCTGAACATACAGAGTACTATACAATGCCTTGAACTCTTCTGCAACAGACCTCGAATGCATCTTACATCCAATACTATAGGATATTTTTTACCCTAAATCAGTGAGTAAACTGATTACTCCTTCACACAGATTTCTTCAGATTAATGTGAAGATAGATTAAGATTTATGAACCCTTAAATACTTATGTGCAGAGGACCAAAGAAAAGCTCAGAAAAATTAATACCACCACCTTCACAGCCAATTAAACTACCGTAAACTTAATACAGAGTCACTGAACAAAAGGTAATAATAAGCTATTTATGAACACTACGTTTTAAGTAAGCACCTAACCTGTGAAATAAATATTCATGCACTTACGATGAAGTATTTAAGTGGTAAGTATATGTACATATTTGCACAGATTATTTAAATTCTACCTTCAACCTTTCGAGTATATGTCTTTGAATCTTAACAACTTCTTTTAACTTTGGAAATCACAACTAGGAAACCTATCTCCCTTTTTTTCTTTTTTTTTTTTTAAAAAAGAAGGAAGAAGAACAGGAAAGAATAAAATAGTGACTTCACTGAGATATTTCTTTTAAAATCCATAGAGAAACAGTTTCTCTAACTTCTGATATATGCTGGGAATAATTCTGCTTTTCATAGAGATCCTATTTTGAATTTGATTCTGAAAAACTGGTAAAATTGACAAAGAATGTAAAACAATTTTTGAGAGGCCAGGACTGCAAAGATACCTATGGCATAACAAGAACAGTCTGGGTTTTTTTGCAAAAATATAAAAAAAAAAAAGGGGGAAAAAATACAAAAACACGTAGTAGTATATTTCCTCTGAAGATATTTGAAGGAATAGAAGTGTGCCAAAACTGTAGCAGGAAACAGAAGAGACCATTATCAAAGTGAAACAGTGAGTTTATATTGCCTTGGGAAATGACAGGAAACAAAGTAAGGTGAATATAACTTTATTAGAAATCCCATACAAAGAGAAACGTGATGCAGTAAAAAGGAAATACACGAATACTTAAGGATAAAGTTAGAAACACTAAGGCAAAAACAAGTTTTATTTGGCAAAAGACAAAGAAAACCCTAAAGAAATTGCATTCTTCATATGTATTACAGAAGGAATCTATAAAACCATTATTTAATTGGAAAGAGAGTTAAAACAAACCAACAACCGACTGTAAAGCAACAGCAGATTTTAATTATCTTCACAAAGGAAAATAATCACCATTAATTATAGTAAGCCATCTAACAAAGCGAGGAAAAAACTGGATGTTAAGGATAGTAAGGATTTCTTAAGAACAATTAGATGCATTCCTACATTATGCGACTGAAGAATTATTTGCGTTCGGGTCAGAAGGGGTTTTCCTTTACAGTAGTTTAGGAACTCAGCAAAGCAAACTAAAGGGAGAGGCAGCGAGGTCCCAGAGGATGGTAGAAGAGCAATTCAAAGTGAGGAGGAGAAAGCGGGAACTGAGAAAGTTGTAGACCAGACACAGCAACTCTGATACTCAAAAGTCCTGGACACACTACTAGGTTAAAAGCTACTATGAATTTGTTAAGAACAGTATCCAGTTTCCTTTTTGAGATCAGCACAGTAGCTGATCTCCTCAAGAAGTCTCCAGTGCTGACTCACATGGCATTCTCAAAAGAAAAGGTGGCGACTTCATCTTAACAAATAAAACACAGGAAGAACGAGAAAACAACATCCTGGTTGCAAAACTACTCTGAAAAATATCTGTTCAGCTAAGAGGACATTTCAAGCATCATATAGGGAACTACAGCCAAGTTTCCTGCATAATCCAATTCTCAGTAGTAATTTATGGAGCCATTTACCAATAACTCCACCATATGAACATACGTGTGGAGTGAAAATGTCAGTGCTTTCAGAAAGCAGGATTAAAAGTAATTTTGACATAAAAAAGACATGGTCTAAACTCAGTGTAATGAAACTGAATAAGGAGAAATAGAGATGTAAAACAGTGAAAATACTACTATGAAGCACAAGTGATCAGTTTTACTCCATGACTATTGCAGAAGAGTTCCCAGCTTAACTTGCAGTAAAGGAGACTTAGGATGGATACCAGGTGAAAAAACAGAAGAATAAACATGGGAGTAAAACTAGAGGAATCCTTGTTTGTGGAACGTTTTCAAGAATAGGTTTGATGAGTGCTCGTCAGGGATCATCTAGGCATACAGGACCCTGTCGCAAGTCACACCTCTGGCAGGGCTGCAGGCAAATGCAGAGTAAGGACTATACTTCAGAATTACAGAAAAGAAAAGAAACATTCAAATATACTTGAGCAAATCCCTACAACTTGGCAAAACAACTCAAGACACTGAAAAATTGTCTCTCCTATGTAAAGACAGTATTCTTCTGGAACGTGCAAGGAACCAAACAGAACCTAATTCTGACCCAAATTATGTGGTGTTGTGGTTCCAGATCAGAGCAACATACCAGGTCGTAACATGGCACACTCAAGGAACCATGACTATTACTGAGCACAGGATTGCCAGAGAGAGAAATGTTTTTAAAAAAAAAAACGTTCACAAGTTCTTTTCTCATTCATCTACATACTCCTACACTGCAGGCACAGCTTCTGGCAGCAAGGAGCACAGAATACAGATTAGTCTGTGTTTCCTCTCAGTGATGCCAAGTAGTAACTGACTTCCAGGAAGATAAAGATATAATCACATGGTAAATACTGAGGAACGTAATTGCAATCTAGGCAGATCTAAGAGCATTTCCTAGATGCAGGGTCTGACTACACTCAGAAGAAAATCAGGTACACACCATCTGCTCTGTGAATCCCTGCTCTGAAACCAAAGCTGGAGATGCAACTGCAGAGAAGAACCATGGTACCACCCAGAAAGAAACCCCCATTTTCTGGACAACTTAGGAAATCAAGATAGCAAGGCGTATTGCAGATATCTCAGCCCACAGTTTATGTGCAGCCAACCTGACCCATATTACACTAAAGCCCCAAAAGCAACCACAGGCACATGAAGGAAGAACACTCCTTTCTACACAATAGAAAAACTAAATGTTTGCAGATGCAGCCCTCCACCAAAAAGCTCACCTACAAAGAAAAGGTTTATAAGTCTGCTGCTGCATCCAGTCAACAGATTGCATCACAAATCCACGTAAATGTTGAAGTGGGAGCACAGAGATCCTGAATCCAAATTTGGCCAACTTGCCAACTTTGGGTGTCCTGCTGCAGTATTAGGTCTCTCATGTTGCTTTTTACTGTAAATGGTTAACAACCTTGTGATGGTTTTCCCCATTCACCCCAGCCGTAATTTATCAGAACACTACCATTTTGAACCAACTCATAGTTACCTGTCCTTACCATAACAGCTTTCTTCTTTAACGAGAACTAGCTGCTGTCTGTAACTCTAGACTACAGAATCGGAGGCCGCACAATGAGAGCTTTCACTGCTAAGTTATTATTGTCAACATCTTGGTGGTTAACAAAGCAGTAACTAACTTTGACTTTCATCTTACTTTTTGCTCTATATATAGCTTTTTAAAAGTTTTATTGCAACTCACCAAAATTTCTCTTTGTTCTTCCAGATTTTTTAAAAAGTTTGAAAACTCATGAAGTGATGCATCTGTAATACAAAACCAGAAAAAAAGTTTAATCATGTTGCAGGATGGCATGGCAAAATATAGCTACGTATAGTCACTTCTTACCTACCTATGTATCTTTCATCATCTGTCTCTGCATCACCAATGAATTCAAATTTAAAGTCTCTCAGAGAATGGGCAAATTTCCTCTGGGCTGCTGAAAGGTCTGCAAGGAAACAAAAAAGCACAGATTGAAGGTTAGGGAATCATTTTAAGAAGACTGGGAGATCCTCCTACCCCTAGAATAATGAACTTTTACAAGAAACTTAACACAGGTCTGCCTAAGGACATTACAACACATCCACTATTGTCTAATCCTCTTCTGATCTCATCTGGGAACTTGTCACACAGATTTCTTTATGCAAGGCTATATAGGGGAAAGCAAGTGTGATCATTTATGCACTATTAAACCTATTCTTATGCTTCACTATAGCACAATTTAGGGCACAGGCCATACAAAGAGATCTGTTAAATACAAAAGTTTAAGGCACAACACTCAGAGTAATTTGTGCCAGTTGTCTTACTTTGCAAACCTAAATTCACAAGTATTATTTGTGAGCACAAATACGCATCTTAGGATTTTCTAAATACTTTACATAGATAGTGCTGCTCATGAAACAATTATACGTAAACCAAATTTTAAAGAATTGTTGCAATGGAACTAGAAATTCCATGGAGTTAAACTATGCCGAAAGTCAGATAAATTACACGCACAGCATTAAAATTAATTTTGTACAATAACTGTTTTGTAATATTCTTGACAGAGTGACCCGCCTGGTTGACAGGGAAAGGCTGTGGATGTAGTTTTCCTTGACCTCAGTAAAGCCTTCGATACAGTTTCTCATAGTGTTCTGGTTGAGAAACTGATAACTGCTGGCCTGGATAGGCACACCCTCCTTTGGGTTAAAAACTGGCTGGATGGCCGGGCCCAAAGAGTGGTGGTAAATGGGGCTAAATATGGCTGGAGGCCGGTCACCAGTGGGGTTCCCCAGGGCTCAGTGCTGGGTCCAGTTCTGTTTAACATCTTTATCAATGACCTGGATGAGGGGATTGAATGTACCCTCAGTAAATTTGCGGACGACACCGAGCTGGGAGGCTGTGTCGATCTGCTTGAGGGTAGGGAGGCCCTTCAGAGGGATTTGAACAGGCTGGATCGCTGGCGGCATGAGCTTTAATA